TGATATAATTAACATGACGCCGGCTGCCTTTATTTCCAATGGCTGGTACTCGGTTTAGGCTGAGTCGATCGATGATTTTGTTATTTATATATTTGTTTATACTTTCATTACTTCCAACAGACGAACAAAATCTGAAAGTCTTGGCTCGCTCTGCGGAAAAAAACATCATCACGCTCACCCAGCATCCCTGAAGGGAGAGCTTAAGGTTATAATTATGACTAAATTTTGTGCGCAATATAAAATGGCTTGCAATGCTCGCCATCAAGTAGCCCTAGAAATGACACTTGCAGTGTTGTTGTGATCAAGGGAGAAAGACCCATATTCTGTCCTGATCGGTGACGAAGTTATCTTCCGGTGAAACAACGGGCGATGTAGCCGATCTTCTGATGTGTTGTGCCTGAGATGGTACAGTGGAACCTCGCTTAACGAGCATAATTCGTTCCAGAATCATACTCGTTAAGCGAAACACTCGTTATGCGAAATAACTTTTCTCATATAAATTAAATGTAAAATACGATAATGCGTTCCATGTCGAAAAAGATACTCACAAAATGCTATGTATAACGTTTATTCAAAGAAAATTATATACATATTGTTAAGGAGAGTGAATCATCTTCATCTTTTCTTCAAACGCGGAACGAGCCCATCTGGAATGTGACTTCGATTTGCAGGAAAAAAAAGTCGAAATAATTATGATACATAGATAAATTTTTTTTCCTAGAAAGATATCCAGAGACATTTGTTTTTGCCGACGATTCAAAATTTGGCGAAAATGCGATACAGCATTATCATTAAATAAATTTGCAGCGCGCATAGCCCCTTCCTTATTAGGGTGAGGCTTCTCACATAAGATGCAACAGTTTGCCATGCTTTCAGCATTTCTCTTTTTTCGCCAGAAGATTGTTGCTTTTCTTTTACCTCCTCCTCCTCCTCTTAAAAACTTTCCACCAAAACTTCTTGCTGTGAAACACAATGCAACTCCTTAAGCTCTTAGGTGTTCAGCTCTTGCCAGTGCTCTTCCGCAAGCTCTTCGATATCACTGTTATCCACCTACAATCCCATGATAGTAGCCAAAGACACAATCTCGTTGACTACACGTTCCACGGGTACTGTCTCGAACCCCTCAAAGCCACAAATCGACAAAGCTCTTCGGACAAAGCTTCTTCTAAGCAGAAGTTAGGGTTCTCTTAGTAACTCCTTCCCCCGCCTTGTCGATCATCTTGGGGCAGGCAATGATGTGGAAGTGATTTTTCCAAAACTCTTTGAGAGTGAGGTTGGTCCCTTCAGTCACCTGAAAACAATGCTCGAAGAGTGCTTTAGTGTAAAGCTTCTTAAAGTTAGAAATAACTTGCTGGTCCGTGGGCTGGAGTAACGGAGTCGTGTTGGAAGGCAGAAACTGGATCTTGATGAACTTAAATTCTTCAGATAGGTCATCTTGTAGGCCTGGAGGATTCATGAACATATGTCACAATATAACACAAGTTGGAGAACATGTGTGATTACAAGCGACACTACGATGCTACTGGAACAAGTGCTAAACACTGATGTACCATGCGCACATTTGGGGACTTCCCCTCTCCTCGCCCCTCGTTATGCGAAACGTCGCTCGTTAAGCAAGTCATTTTTTTACAATTTGTTTCGCTCGTTGTGCGAATTACTCGTTATGAGAGGTGCTCGTTAAGCGAGGATCTACTGTATTTCATTTTGCTGCATTCTGACGAGATGGCCAAACCACCTGATCTGCTTGCTATTTCATGGTGAATCTAGTACAAGGTGTTGCTCCCACAATATGTCTGATAATATCACTATTTACTCGATCTCAGATAGTGAGGTTGGCTGTTTTTCTCGGGCACCTCATCTAGCGATTGGTGATTTTAAGTATATGGGAGGCACTGAAAGAGAGGTTTATAGAGATATGGCTGGTCCTGATCCGAATGACAGCATTAACCATCTAACAAGAAGGGACAAGGCAACCATCTTCAGACTCAGAACACAACATACTTCACTCAGTGGACATCTTAAAGAATACAGCCACAACACTCTCCATAGTGCTATCTATGTAACTACTCATACGAAACTGTTGAACACCATCTCTTTGAGTGCCCAAAACCCAGTGAGACTAGAAGAATGCTACTCCATCCGAGACCAGACAAGTGGATCACCTTGTACAGAGGAAAAGAACAGCTTGTGAAAACGTACGAATTCCATTGCATGGCATTGGGAAAAAGGGCGAAACTTCATGCACCACTGGATCGATAACAACAACAACAAAAACAACAACAATAACAACATATACGGGCTTTAATTAAACAGTATTAGAATTTGGCAGTTCTTGTTTTTGTCGTCACTCTATTACTGGGTTGTAGCCCGTTGTCGTAGTTTTCTGTGTCTGTCTTGTACCAGTGGAGTGAACTGAATAATCATACTGTGTTTTATTTGGCAGGTTTCAGCAACAACATCTATCAGTTACTTAGTATAGTCTTGTGCCACCATGAAATCGATGCAAAACAACAAAGACTGCACCAATAACTCCAGCATCAGTATAACCACATCAAACTCCAGTGATGACTTGAAAGTCTGTGGATCGAACCTGGCAGGCCAACTGATCAGTGACAACACGACCTACATTTTGATTATCGTTTTCCAGGTATCCTTTACCGGAGTCCTAGCCGTTGGTGGTATTATCACCAACACGATCAACATCGTCGTCTTCTTCAAGACCGGATTGTCTGATTCCGTCAATATAAGTCTCTTTGGATTAGCAGTCGGTGACTTGTGCTCTCTGATATTTTCATTTTGGGAAAGTGTTTGTTTTAATCCACTTTTCCACAATATTGGAGCACCCGTGGTTTTTACGGAGATTGAATACATCACCGGTTGTTGGCCGCATGTTTGTTTTGTGCGAGTGACTAGTTACATAACAGCTTTCGTTACTTTTGAACGGTGTCTGTGTATAGCATTGCCTTTGAAAGTGAAGAGCATTGTCACGGCGGGCAGGACCAAAGGAATCATCATTGTCATATTTTTAATTGTCATGATAACGTCTATACCAGAGTATTACGTCAGCCGGCTGGTCTACAAGTTCTACCCGGAGAAGAATCGAACTCTGTTGGGAATCTATTTCATCGAAGACCGGGCGAGGTTTGAGAAGGTCACTCTGATACTGAACAATGTTGTGCTTCAGTGCTTGGCTTTTATCGCTGTTCTTGTCTGCACGGTCATACTTATCGTGCAGCTCAACCGGAAAGCCAAATGGCGTAAACATGCAGCAAAGGTGGAGAAATCCACACTTGGAAAAGATAAAAAAGTTATCAAAATGATCAGCTTCGTTTCAGTGGTCTTTATAGTGAGTAATCTCCCGTCCTGTTTGGTTTTTGTATCTATGACCTCCTTCCCTCAGTTGCATCCCACTGGGGTTAACCGCAATATGTTCTACGTGGTCTGGTCTGTGGTCTACGTAATGGAGTCTATTAACTCAATGGTCAACATTTTCATTTATATCAACATGAGTTCTAAATACAGCGCCATATTTTATAAAATGTTCTCATGTCGTCAAGTGGTTGTATCAAACACGGCTAGATCTGAACACGAAATTTCATACATTGTATCGTACTAATCTCTTGTACCGAGGTGAATCATACATTCTAAGCAGATTGGTGGAAAATAAAACTGTAATTGACTCTGAGCGAATTTGTGAAAAATTATAATGGTCTGTGAGCCGATTAGCCAGGTGATCAGATAAACGCAGTGCCTTCTTCGTGGGAAAACGGGTAACTTCAAAGTTTCTCCGTTCCTGTACCAACGAAAACCACACAGAATGTCCATCCCTGTGCTTTGGCAAAAAACATTCACAAGGACCGCAGTCTCGGCAAAACTAATCACGTACACACGTATTAAATGCTTAACGCAGAATTACCAACACAAACAGCCGGACACTAAAAATGTAGTTCATCGTCAATGGAAGCATCAGTTACAGTATGTCACTATTTGCACACGCAATTAATTGCATAAGACATCACCAGTTTAGTGGCAGCAAGCTACTCGCTATTTGGCGCTTCTTTGATTTATTCCCCAAAATGGCGGCATGCCAGATTCTGGCCATAAAATATCCAAAAATATCCGAACGACGGTGTTCGCGTATATCTAAAATACGGACTTTCTGCCAACAAACAAATCGCGACAAAACTAGGATTACTTGACAACCAATATAAACATTTGCACACGGTACTAGTAGCAGACGATAAATACCGACAAATTTCGAGCGTTTCTGCAGATGACGATACTAGCAGACGATATTACGCTACCGTTGACCAATTTCGAGACATTGCAGACGATGAAAGCCGATTAGCAATACTGTGTTCTTCCGATTGGAGGATTTAGCAACGGTAGATGTCAGACTTGTCGGCATGCGCCAAACGCGATTAAACTCATCGCCGAGCGTATCTAGGTGCCTGGGACTCACGAGTACAGTAATTGGAGGAAGTTGCAGGAGATGCGGTAGCTGCCACTCGTGAGTCCCAGCCATCTAGTTTAGCCCCCATCCGCGCCGCGCGTAGCGGCGCGGGGGATACACTCGGCGGTTAGGCACACTCGCAGAAGCAGGTCGGCAAGCAACGTATCGCCCAGACCCTGTCAGAGCATTTGTTTCGTTATTCGGAGCCGGCACATATATTTTTTATTAGAACTGACCCCGCATTCGGATATTTTTGGATGTTTTATGGCCAGACATTGGCCAATTTAGCTCCTTTTTAAACGCCATCACATTACAGCCGCCATTTTGGGGAACGATTAAAAGAAGCGCCCGCTATTTTCTGAATTTGCAGTTCAGAATACAAGAGACGTTGGGCACAGTCGAAAAGCATTCCAAATGGAATCCACAGGGGGAAAACGAAGGGAGAAGATGCTGGATTGTTTAGTATCATCAGGACGAAGGATCATCTGTGTCGGAAATGAGGAAGGTGTGTGACAGGGGTCATGATTTGCTTTGTGGGAGAAAAAAAAAACTTGTCACCTTCAAAGAGCATCACCACAGCTTTAAGTTATAATTGTGACTAGGTTTATGTGCACCCCAAAAAATGACCTGGGAGTCGCGGTGGCGTTGGCGCTTAGACGCCTGCTTGTGGATCAGAAGGTCGTGGGTTCGCGTCCTGAGGTAACCGGACTTTTTTTCAAAAATGACCTTGACTCCCACCTCGACCCAGCCTTGAGTGAGTACTAGGTGCAGTTCTAGGAAGTAAAGGGGGCCGGCGTGATGCTGACAACACCCACCAAGTGCCGATTGGTCTATAAACATAAAGGTCTAGCCCTTTATTCTTTATACGTCTAGAGGCGTGGAAAAGGGACCTTTCATGTTTTTATTGTTATTTTTACAAATAAAATGGCCTAGCATTGCTCGCCACCAAGTATTCCCGAAATGGACTTTTGTATTGTTCTTGCTATCATTAACTTATTACCCGTCCCTATATGGGACGGAATTTTCGTTATTATGAAGACCCACCCTAATTGTTGCCGAGGGCCCAAATATAACCTGAGGGTTAAACGGGATTTCTGGGACGTCTCCACATGTGATCATCATCTGAATGATGGCACTTTGTGTCATGGCTGTTTATCGATCAGTGTGATGTCCTAGTGGTGTAAAAAGTCAGCCAGTCAGACGTTGCGATAAAAAGAGACAGACAAAAACAACTATTCTGACCTGCGACGAATTCGTCTGCCGGCCAATCAATAGGTGACCCGTCTTCGATGATGAAGACAGGGGTGCCGAAATCTGGGGCCTTGTCACATTGAGCCCCCCTTCCCCCACCCCAGGCCCCATTTATATGTTGTTGCTATTGATCCAGCGGCGCATGAGCTTTCGCCCTCTGGCCCAATGCCATGTAGTGGAATTTGTATGTTTTCACAAGCTGTTCTTTTCCTCTCTACAAAGTGTTCCACTTGTCTGGTCTCGGAGGGAATAGCGTTCTTCTTGTCTCACTGTGGCGGGTAACTTCGCTTTAACTAGCGAATGCACTATGTGCACTTTACAGAGGGAATTACAAACAGTGAGTCATCATATAGTCTTATAGTAACCCCAGCCTTGCTGGTTAAATGAGAGGATTCGGGGTTTGCCCACATCTTATTCCCTGCTGTAATTAAGATTGTATATTTAAATGTTCTTAAGTTCACTGACAATGTTTACAGTTAAAATGAAACTTCATAAAACTGTAGGAACATTAAAACTAACATTTATTCAGCATTGGATATCAAAATAATAAACAAAATGGCTGTGGATATAGAATCCTGTTATTCAAGGTAGGTTAGTTAAATCTTAGCTGTAGCTTAGGTTTCTGTTGTCAGCTTCTGACTAAGCTTCGGAAACACATCAGGCAGGCCGAATCTTCCAGTCCAGTCCGGACAATCGGGTATCTGCGGCTAAGCTTAGGATCTACTTCTGGACTCCCACCTGTATTACAATCTGGAACTAGAACAATAGAACAGTCCTTATACAAACAGTCAGGAAGGTTCTAACTGGAGACAACAATACCTCCAGTCTTTAAAATGTTACACTACACACATATATATGGAGTAGGATAGTAACAGGTGTTCACATTCTACTGGTATATAATGGGAATGTGTACAGAACATGGTCCATAATCCTGATGGGGAAATATTTAGGAAACCAGTTTCATGAATACTCTCAAGAACAAGGGTTTACAGCACACAAAAAGAAAGGACATTCCTCAGTGTAAATTGTTCTGATGTCTGCACACTAGTACTCCTTTGAAGGGTTAACATGCTTACACACACAGACATACAGTCATATTTCACAATATTCTCATTTTAACCACATGGGTTCACATCACAATGAATGAGAAGCAGGGAGTGAGTTTACCAAGGCAGGAAACTCATAACAGGTGCTTTGCACTGTTTGAAAATAAATGGGATTGACATATCTCCATCAATATACTGGGTGCTGGGATAGATGTCAAAATACAATCATAGATGACAATGGGCTTTCCATCTGTCACAGTATTAACATAAAATATACAACACTCACTCCAGTTTAAATCTAAATCCACACATGTGCTAATCTTATTCAGCAGAGTTTAGAAGTGGTGAGGGGTGAAATATAATTTTTGCATTTGTAAGGCCAGCTGCTGTAAAACTGAAATGTATTCCTAGTAATAGGGAAATATATCTACAACAATAATAATTACAAGCAGGGGCCATACATCTCTTTTCTGCTTCTTCTTCTCTGACAGTGTGAATATTAAATTCAGCCTCACTGTGTTATTCACTTTCCAAGCTCTTAAACTAGTCTCAGAATTATCTGGACTAAATCTAAATTAAAGCAAGACAGTGATTTATTAAGCTAATATCACCATGAGGTAAAATCAACTTAGAAGGGATTAGGTATAATGAATATACACTTCATTCCTATTTTTAATTGTCTAAGCTGGAAACAGGAACTGGCCGAGATTTCACATGAGGACATAATTATCACTTAATTAATATAAGTATAATAATTGAAACTACCAATGCACGTTTCTAGTAGCAAATAAACATTAATTAAATCATCAATAGATCATATGTTTGCATACATGTACATACTAGATCATAAACGTGGTTAGTGAGGATAAAAAAATTTATCATAGTTTTTGAGCCATGTGGGCATTAAATTTCAGAATTTAACCTGTAAAATTAATTCAGAGGAATAAGCAGCAATACATCAAATTAAACTTATTCTTTTAACTCACCCCTGGCAGGGAATTCAAACTCAGACAACAAGACCACAGAACTAACTGAACTGTGTCGATTGGGGAGAACAAAATCTTGACTCCCCCAATCTAGCCTGGAATGAAAAATGGCAGACGGGGAGTCCTACCAAGGGGGAAGTTACTCTTTGTTACCCCTTCGCCTTTATTACCTTTCAACTCTTTAATTATAATTTTGCTACAGTAAAGCATTAAGAAAAAGTTAAGGAAATTTCTTAATTAATCCAGTGTTATTATGCTAATTAAAAGCAATAGGAAAATGTTTAGAACTTTGGTAATAATATTATCTAAACAAAGCAATCTTTAAAAGGACAGAAACAGCTGTCCAGACCAGCTCGTCACACTCACTGAGTTTTGTCAAAGAGATGGTGTTCAACAGTTTCGTAGGGGTAGTTACATAGCTGGCACTCTGGGGAGTGTTGTGGCTGTATTCTGTTTAGGTGCCCACTGAGTGGAGTATGTTGTGTTCTAAGTCTGAAAATGGTGGCCTGGTCCCTTCTTGTTAAATGGTTAATGCTGTCGTTAGAATCAGGGCTAGCCATGTGTCTATAAATCTCTCTTCCTGTATCTCCCACGGCCAATCTGTTCAGCCAAATCTCTTTGTTTGTAGCTTTCATAAGTGTTTTTGCTGTCTGTAGAGTTGTCGCTGTAGGTGGTTGTTCTTGTGTTGCTCCTTCCTTTGCCAGCTTGTCATCTCTGTCATTACCTGGTGTGCCGGAGTGGCCTGGAATCCACTGCATCACTATTCTGATACTGTAAGAGGTAACGAGCTGATCTGCATCTAGAATTATCTTGGCTATGTCAGTTCTGCAGCGTTTACTGCCCACCAGAGCTTAAAGAGCAGACATTAAATCGGTGAAGA